AGAGAGGATGAAAGGCACACAAGCGTCGAGGACTCTCCTTCATAGGGTCGCTACGAGTCACCTGCGACTCAATGGCACTTAACAACAACAATCCTCCACTAACAGCGCATCTCTATGTTTTCATCATCACTAATTAGATGGCTCTGGTAGCCTAGTGGTAAGAAGCTGTGTTACAATCCTGAAGGCATGCAGTTCAAATCTACCAATTGCTCCATGGGAGGAGACTAGGAACTCTCCCCTTGAAAATCCACCGAGGGGTCAGCTATGGGTAGGCTCTGACTTGATGGTACACAACAAAAACAATTACATGCATGCAAACATGTATTTGCATTAGTAAATTCTGGTGACTTATTGGCAAGAAATTGTGCTGTCAACACAAAGCTAAGCAGTGAAAATCTCCCAGCAACTCCTTGGGAGAAAAAAAATAGGTACGTTCCTCCCAAGAGATTTACTGCCTCTGAAAACCAGCTCGAGGTCCACGTGCATTTCAGTTGGGACTCAATGGTTCACAACAGTAACAATAATCCATATAGATTAAATAAATAACACAAGAAAAGCAAACCATTGGCCAATGAGTTTATTCTATTTTATGACAATATCAAGAGTTTTAGAGTAGAAATGTCATAGGGTTTTCAAGATCATGACTTTTTAGAAGTTGATCTCCTAACTTTGTTCTGAAGCACCTCTGAGTATGTTGAAACCCACTAACATTTAGGTTTGTAGTCAAAAGCAGAATAATTTGCTCACCAGAGATTGATAGGCTATTTTTTTTCAAATGTGTAAGATCATTTAACTCTTTGCATTGTATATATATTTATGTTCTCTCAACTTATATTCAATAGAAATATAAAAACAATGACTGAAGCTAAGTCATGAAGGCGGGAAATCATTCAGGGTAAAGGAAAAAACTTTCCCCGGAATCCAAATGACTGATGGAACATATTTCATGCCCAGGGACTAAAATTTTGTGAATGAAAGCTCATCAAAGCAATATAGCCAAGGAAAGGGAGATATTTTAGGAACAGGGGTCAGTGAAATTCCTCACATTGTCTGAAATCAAAACACTGGCACAACTGGCTGATCTAATTACACACACTGCCCGCACAATGTGAGAAATGGTTAAAAAAAACTATTGGAAAATGTAATTAAAATGTCAATACCAAGGTGTATACTTACAGAAAAAGAATTTCTTTTTACTCTGCTTGAAATTAATTTGATCTTATCCATAAGACTATTTTTTTATGTGTAGTACTGATCTTAATAATTTACCTTTTAGGTCTTTGACCAGCTTGGCTTTGTTCCTATTGACCTCATTTTCTCCCTAGATTTACTGATACCTGAATCTTTTCTACTTGACAAGATGGTAAGACAATACCAGCACTAAGAATTTTTTTTTTAAGTCTCTATTCCTCAAGTTACCAAATTCTACTAGCAAGAAGCTATTTTTCTAGCTTAATATCATAAATTGGTAATGGGACTCTTCTAGGTCCGCTTAATAGACCTTATTGCTTTCTTAGACTGTCATTGTGTCATATTATTTCAAACCCCTACATAATTTAAATTCTCTCAAAGTATGACTCATTAAGATTTTTCATTTAAATATCACCACAGTGACTCTTATGCAAACAAATCCCCAGGAGCCAATAAAGGATTCAGAATTCATTTTCCTTTTCTGTTTTGGTGAGTGGCATCCTGAGAAAGAAATGTAACTCATTTTCTCCACTGTATAAAACATTCTAAGCTGTGAAAATTAAAACTTAAAAGAGAAATGCCAGAAATAACCCATAGGAAATTTCTATTGACTGATGATCTTTGCCCACCTCCAGTAAATGCTAATGGGAGAACAATCTAGAAAAAAAGGACAAATATCTTTTCCTCAACAGCATTTCCTCATTTTCACATTCTGATAAAAATTAAAAATATGTACCATGACTTTTTTAAAAGAAAGGCAACAGTGAGGCTGTAAGCTAAGAACAAATTTATGAAACAAACAAAACATTATGCCTCTTTTCCAACTGGACGATGCAACTCAAAGTCTGAAATACAACAAGTGTGAGGTCAGCATGAGTTAACTAAACTGGCGTTTATAGAAAGATCTAAAAGATAGGTAAATTCTTTCGATGGTGACTAGACAGAATTAGCCCAATAGAGGATCTCAAACCAACTCCAAGTATCGCAAGAGGGGAACAGAATTGACGCACTAAAACTGTATATCTAAAGATTTAGGGATGATAGAAGGAGAGTTGATGCCTTTGAATTGTGGTCCTGGTGAAGAGTATTGAATATACCATGGACTGCTAGAACAAACAAGTTTGTCCTGGAGAGGATGAAGCCAGTCTGCTCCTTGGAGGCAAAGATTCTGAAGCTTTGTCTGACATACTTTGGACATGTTGCAAGGTGGGATCAGTCTTTGCAGAGGGATGTTAGGCTTGGGAAGTTGGAGGGACAGTGCAGGAGAGGAAGACTCTCAATGAGATGGATTGGTTCTGTCACTGGGGTAATAGGGATAGGTGTGTCAGAAACAATAAAGTTGGCAAGAGATAGAACAGTGTTTAGGGCTGTTGTACATACAGTTGCTATGAGTTGCAAGCGATTTGACTCTCATAACACAAACTGATTGGAGAAAAGATTGAAAATATAGACCCTCAGTAAGATCGATTGACACAATGACAGTAAGAATGGGTCCTAACAGAGGTCATGAAGAGGGCACAGGACAGGGCAAGGCTTAGATCTACTGTTTATGGGGTCACTACAAATCATAGTCGATGCAAAGCCCTCCAACAATGCCAACCCACAAATATATGTAAACTGAAAGTTTCAGTCAATTAGTCCTAATTAAGGACTTAAATGATTTTATTTTCTTTTTTATTTTGCTATTTGGGATTTGAATTCGTCAAAACCAAGTACGAAACTCTGGACATTGTTTTGCTGAGCAGACTTGCTTAAATGTCCTATCTCTGCCATTTAAGACAATTGTGTGGTAGGCTGTTAATCTCTCTTACTCTGAGTAGCTTATCTTTAAAATGTGGATCATAATAGTACCCACTACATCAAGCTGTTACAAGAATTACATGACATAATGTATGAAAAGCACTCAACGAACCAACTATTCAATAAACGCTCCCAGTAGGATCCTCTCTGACACACGTTATAATTTAGTAGGTCCCATTACTGGAAGATCAATTAGTGACTCAGGTGATTACATTTCAGGAAAGCAATGCACACAAAACGTTTAATGAGAAACCTGTGGATTTATAAGTCTCCCAACAGCAAGTGCCCATCATGTACACTCTGAGACTCTGAGAAGTTTCAGACAGCCAAGACGTGATGTCTTAATTACAGAGTGAAGACTGTGGGGCAGCACCCTGAGAGCCTTACTTCTCCCTGAATATTTGTATCCAGTGTTGAATTCAATCACCATCTCAACTAGAAAGTATGCAACTGGGAGAAATCTCACACTGGGTGGTAAAATCAGTGTGTTAAAGCTACAGAACTGGGTAATTAAAAATAGAAGCTCTTTAGAGGAAGTATCTGTTATTAGATGACATCACCTTAGTGGCCATTGAGTCAGTTCTAATTCATGGTGACCTCATGGTTTGCAGAGGAGAACTGTATACTATAGAATTTTCAGGACAATGATTTTCAGGAGCAGATTGCCAGGTCTTTCTTCAAGGCAATTTGCCTAAGTTCAAGTGGTCAGCCTTTTGGATGATCCAAAACCTATTGGTATTAAGTCCATAGCTACCTATGTTGTTATTGTTGTTATGTGCCGTTGAGTCATAGTGACCTTATATACAGCATTTTTGAAGCCTGCTTTGTGCTGAGCTAGTCTCACTGACTCTGACACACCTACCATCATTGTTCTGTTTACTGTATCAATCCATCTCATCTGAGGTCTTCCTCTCCTGCACTGTCCCTCAGTCCTTCTGAGTATGGTGTCCTTCTCTGAGGACAAGTCCCTCTTAGACACGTACTCAAAGTATGTGAGACAGAGCTTCAAATAGCAAACTTATAGTATAAAGTAGGAATACCTCATAGGATTAAAAAGTAATGCATATTTTAAAGGAATTTTAGTTTTAGGACAAGCTTTTGCTAATCATCACAGCACATACATTTTTGGTTACTAACATTTACTTTATCCTCATGTGATAATGACACAGAGTTTTGAGTAATTCACAAAATGGGTATCTCTTTAAGATATATAGAAGCTGTGATATATTCACACAATGGAATACTATGCTGCATTGAAAAACAAGGAACTCATGAAATATTCAAAATGGATGACCTTGGAGGTCATTATGCTGAGTGAACTATCTCAGTCACAAAAGGACAAATACTGCATAGTGCCACAGTTGTAAAATAGGACTAACATAGGGGTTGAGGGGGGAGACTGAGAGAGATGGGATAAATTATGTATACTGAATTGAAACAGATCTGAGGGAGAACTATTTAAATGGTATATATGATTAGGTATTATTGTCATGACAGGAGTCCACAACAAAGGCTGCATTGTTGACTGGACTTGGAGGGAGGGATTGTATAGCAATGAAAGAATTTTTCTTTTACTTTTCAAAGAGAAGAACAAACTGGAAGGTAGGGGTGGGCAGGGAGAAAAGTGCAACAATGAATGAATGGTAATCTAAAATCTCTGTAAATTTTCATTAAAATTGACAATGAAAGAAAAAACAAATATTGCCTTCCTTCAGCTTCCAGTCACTGATCAATCAGAAATCAACTATGTGTATTTCATGAAATGACAACCAGTTTAAAAGAATACATACAATCATTTTGTAAGAAAAACTATATAGAATTGATAGTAATACATTTTCAAGTCCTACACGAACCTTTAGATAACCTTGGAAAATGTTTTTAACTATGGATTATATCTGAGTGCTTGAGAGCTCACTAATTTACTTATTTGACATAAGTTTAAACACACTTGTGAATATACCTGTTGACACATAGAAGCAAGCAGACATGAGTCAAAGGAAAACACCTACTGTCACTTGATTCATGCTCAGAAGTGTGGGGCTAGGAGGCAAAGTTCCAAGGCGAAATCGGAAACCTTCTTCTAAAGTCATTCCCCAAAACTGGCTGTAATTCTGTGCTGTCCATCTGCCTTACAAAAAAAAAAAAAAGAGAGAGAAAAAAAATGTATAGGTTATAAGTGTGTTATCAGCTCAAGAAACTGAAGAACAAATTCAAACCTCGAGTTGCTATAATCAAGGACGCTTTTGGCAGAACGTTAAATGATCCCGGAAGTATTAAAAGAAGATGGAAGGAATATACTGAGTCACTGTATCGAAA